TGGGGTCACTGGCGAGCCCACCCACACTCGCCAGAATCTCCACTGTAGTCCCTCTAACAAACAGCCCTTCACTCCCTCTCCCACTTCCCCCGCTTCAGCAATTTGTATTTCAATGCCATTGGCCTCAGATCAGAGTTTTTTAAATCATCATGCCCTGACTTATTCCTGGTCAAGCAAGGACATGGGGTGCTTCAGTGGGTCTGTCAGCCTCTCTCCTTGAACAGTGTCACTTTTATTAATTTACTTTTACTTCCACCCTGCTTCTGTGCTAGCAGGGGCCACTTCAGGGCCAAGATACAGGGTGATAATTTGTGGTCCAGCATCAGTTTTCTCTACTCCTTTCTTCCACTCACCCCCAGCAAGGTGCCTGGGAGACGAGCAGATGTTTCATTTTGGCCTGGCCAGTGGCTGAAAGCCAGGCCTCCAATGCACTGTGACCTCTGGCTTCCCCAGCAGCTTTCCCAGAGAGGCAGAGGAGCCTTTCACAGCCCAGGTTCTCCTCCTGCTGCTGCCTCCCGCCCGCTGCAGCTGCAGGCATTCTGAGGGGCAACGTGGAGGCAGGTTTTTTCATCAAACCTTCCCCCTGGCAAAGGGACAGTCAGTCCTATCCAGGTGTCTTCTGTATTTCTGGTGATGGATACAGAAATCTTCTTATGTTACAGTTTTAAATTATGTTCAACAAATAAAAATTGCATTTTTTATTTTGGATCTTTTTTGGACTACTTGTATTTAACCCAGTGAAAAGATGACTTTCATCTTCTACCCTGTCAAGCTGTGTCTCAGTTTAGAGGGGCTCTTGGAAGTCTCTGCTGTGACTTCCAAGGTGGCCTTGAGTTCGGTAAAATGAGGGTAGGGAGGGGTCACCCGACCTGCCAGGTCTACACACAGAGTTCTCACATGGCACATCTAGCCTGGGGTTAGGCGTGTGGCAGGGGTCACCACCCGCATCCCTCACCGATATAGGCAGACACTGAGGCCTTCTGCTGTGACACTGAGTGCTTCCCAGAACCTTCTCACGTCTTCCAGTGTCCCCCTGAAAGATAAACAGGGTAGGAATGACAAGTCTGCTGTTACAAGAACAGGTTCAGTGACTTACTTACATGAGAAACCACAAGGAAGGGCCATACTCAGCCCTAACCTCAGGTCCTGTGCTGGAGCAGCCCTGATCCAGCCTCAGCCCAACCTCAGGTCCTGTGCTGGGGTGGCCCTGATCCAGCCCTACACACTGCCTCGTGGTCAGGCCTGGCATCTGGGTGGGCTCACAGGGCTTGAGGGAAAGGGGCCTATTGCCCTGGCTCCCACTGTGGCCCCTGCAACCCTGCCTTTCCTGAGGCAGCTTCCCAGACACAGCACTGAAAGACCCAGGCACATTCTGTGCCTTGTTCCTGCTCTCCACCATACTGATCTGCTGACTCTGACCCATCAGTAGGTTGGTTTTTCTGGAGAGGAGGAGGATGCCAGGCATACTTTCTGGCTTGCAAGCAACATGGCAATTCTGGCTGTGCAGCCTGCACTTAACTGACACCTGCCCTGTGCCAGGCCCTGAACCGGGCACTTGGTGAAGCAGACAAGGTCTGCCCTCTTGGTACTGGGGCAGACCTGGTAGAAACCCAGCCATCTTGTGTTGGATGTAGGTGCAAATCCACCTTGGATAACCAATAACTGGGAGCTTCAAGATCTGGTCACAGGGGATGTCATTTCCTTAAGGCAGGATTGGACCCCAAGAGAGGAACCTCCAACAGGGAGAAAACAATCACCAGACTTGACTGACCCGGGCCTCTAAGAATGTTGCTCCATTCATTCCTGGGCTCCTCTTACTAATAGCTCGCCCCATAAACCCCAACTATTTTTTTAAGACAGGCTCTTGCTCTGTCAGCTGGGCTGAATTCAGGGCAGTGGCATGATCATAGCTCACTGTAGTCTCAACCTCCTGGACTCAAGTGATCCTCCCACCTCAGCCTCCCAAGTACCTGTGCCTCTGGAGCAGAACAAGCCCGAAAGGACCAGTCAGTCAATGGGACTGAGATGTGTGAACTCCAGCCCTTCCATCAAGTAGCTTTAAACCTTATCCACATTTTGCCATTATCTTTCATCTCTACCCTGACACCCCCGCCTACCACCACACACCTTTTTTTCTTGGAGTCTTTTGAATGAAAGCCCAGACATGGTGTTTCAGAGCAGTTTCATTTACAGGTCCCGAAGTGGCGTGAGGGGTTGTAAAAAGCTCTGGATCAGAAGCTAGATCCCTGGGTTTCTGCCTCAGCTCTAATTAACTGGGCAATCCCAGAAAGTTATTCCCCTCTTTGGGTTTGTTTCCTCATTTGCAAAAGGAGAGTTCTGAGGTCGTAGGGGAGGTCTCCTGTTCAGTGAAGGAAAGTTGCTGTGGGCTGGAACTAGGCCCAGGACACCCCCCCCCCCCGCTCCAGCTGCTCCCTCCAGGGGCCCCTCAGGCGATACACCCACCCAACGCACCATCAAAGGTGAAGCAGGCCTTGGGACTCTTGGTGCCAAGACAAGGAATAAACAAACAAGCCAAGGTAATTTCCCTCTCCCCTGGAAACAAAGCTGGGGTGGTCTGGAGAGGCACTGGAGAGTGCCAGGTGGAAATCGGCCAAACAGGCGTGAGATGATCATTTCCCTGCCCTGCGGGGAACATCTGAGGACACCCAGGCCAGATGTGTTGATTTTGTACTCTCCCTAGTGCAATAAAATCCCCATCAAGAGCATTTCTTTGGGCCAGCCTGCCTGGGGGGGACCGCAGCCTTCTCTGGTCTTCCCTCTGTCTCCCGGGTTTCTCCTCTTATGGAGAATCTCCTCTTATGGAAGAGTCCCGGCTGCTTCTGCACTGTCAGCGGGAGCGCTCACTCCATGCGCTCGCTCTGCTCCAGAGGCACACTCAATGTCTGGGTGCCCGCCAAGCTCCTGCCGCCAGCCACCTCCTCAGGCACAGCCCGCCCACCCATCCCCCTCAGCGAGTCTCCTACTTCCTTCCTCAGCTGCCACCTTCCATTCTCCATTGAAGACTGGCTATTGATCTTGGCCCATTTCTCAAAGTTGCTGCACTCAAATTCCATCCTCAGGACAGATGGACTCCCCAGCCACATCCTCCCCCAGGGGAATGGCCCAGTCCCTCTTCCTGGGCTTGTTGATGGAGTACCTACCTCACACCTGCCTCTCATCCCAATACAAGCCAGTGTCCAAGTTTGCAGAAGTGCCGTCTTGAGGATGGGGATTCTCTGTGCTCGCTGCTGGCCAGACCTGGTAGAAACCCAGCCATCTTGTGTTGGATGTAGGTGCAAATCCACCTTGGATAACCAATAACTGGGAGCTTCAAGATCTGGTCACAGGGGATGTCATTTCCTTATGGCAGGATTGGACCCCAAGAGAGGAACCTCCAACAGGGAGAAAACAATCACCAGACTTGACTGACCCGGGCCTCTAAGAATGTTGCTCCATTCATTCCTGGGCTCCTCTTACTAATAGCTCACCCCATAAACCCCAACTTTTTTTTTTTTTTAAGACAGGCTCTTGCTCTGTCAGCTGGGCTGAATTCAGGGCAGTGGCATGATCATATGCTCACTGTAGTCTCAACCTCCTGGACTCAAGTGATCCTCCCACCTCAGCCTCCCAGTGCACCACCACACTTGGCTCATTTTTGTATTCTTTATAGAGATGGGGTCTTGCCATGTTGCCCAGGCTGGTCTTGAACTACTGGGCTAAAACAGTCCTCCCGCTTCGGCCTCCCAAAGTGCTCCGATTACAGGCTTGAGCCACTTCGCCTAGCCTCAAACTTTTTCCAATTGGCTGATCCAGACTAAATATCATTAAAGAGTGCAATGTCGTCGGTTAAACAAGGACAACCATGTTGTCCGTGTCTGAAGACCACTGCACATTTCCCAAAAGCAAATTTCAAAGTGGAGAATTTAGAAACCCACTTTCCAGATGAGGGATCCCACAGAGAAGTGAATCCGTGGAAATGATGAAATTGCCAGGATCCTTTCTCCAAACTCTGACTTCTTTTCCCCAAGGACATCCCCGGTAGCCTCTCCACCTTCGCCTAGTAGGAGAGTTCAAAACACGCCCTCTCTAAGGCTCTCCGCCAGGTCTCCTGATTTCCAATTTCCGGGAGGTGAGGCCGGCTGGGATGCCCCGAGGGCCTGCTCTAGAGAAAACCGCCCTCAGGTAAAGACAGCTTCCATTTCCGGGTCTGAAGATAAGGAATGCGGTCTCTGCCCTTCTGCCAGGAGCCCTCACCCACTGACCCCTCTGGCCAGTCCGCCGCACCAGGGCTGCCCTTGGCCTGGCCCCCGGGTCTCGGCGGACCTTCGACCCGGGCGTCCTTGCTCGGACCTCAAGCTGCTTCCGGAATAGAATGAAATCCAGCTAGTTAGGCTTCGCAGGGAGGTGTGTCCACCCGCCTCGCGCCGCGTCGGGCCGCACTGTCGCACTTCATTCGCACCAGCCAGTGGCCAAAGTGCTTGGGCACCTATTGCGCCAGGCCAGGAACCGGAAGCCTTACCTCGCTCTAATCCCAACTCTTTGCCCCATGTTCCCGATAAGAACATGGAGGCTCGGAGAGATTAATTTGCCCACGTGCGAGCGGCAGCCAAGGGGCGGATCCGGCACTTGAACCGTGTCCCTGCTAAACCTGCCCCTTGTCCGTTGCAACGCGCCGTAGACGCGCACAAAACCCTCACTTTGTTACTGAGGAAAGTTACTCAAGGGCCAGAGACACCCCGGGGCTTTTGAAAAGAGGTTTCAGGCTGACAAATTTCCATATATCCACTTTTTTTAAGCCTAAAACTGGACTCTTTGGTCCCTCCCCTAAGACCTCCTTCCCGTCCCCCTTGGCCTCAGTATCCCCCTAACTACCAGGTAGGAGAAGGAGCAGTCTTCATTCCTCCCAAATAGGGAGACCACGCCTTCCCCGCTTCCTCCCTCTGCGGGGGGTTGAGTTGGAGGTCACCCCCGCCCCACCCGCGACGCTGGGTTGGGAGTGACGCGGGGTGGGCTGGAGAGGTTTCCCGCCGTCTGGGAAGAGTAAACGGGGCCACCCACCTGCTGGGCCTCCGCCGCCCGCACCTGCTCTTGAGAAGCCTCCGGGTGGGGCACAGTCCCCGGCCCCCGCCCGGGTCCGCGCTCTGGGAGCGCACTGGCCCTTTAAGAGCGCGGCGGCCGCGGCGCGCGGGGAGGAGGGCTGGGAGCGCCCGGAGCCGCGCCGAACTCGCCGGGGACGTCGGGCGCCCGCTCCTTGGCTTGCTCGCTCGCTCGCTCGCTCTCTCGGGTCGGCTCCCTGCGCCTCCTCCCGGGGCTGCCTGGGGACCCGGGCCCGGTCGGGCGCGGCGGCGAGCATAGTCCCCTAGCAGGAGGCGCGCGCTCCGGGCAGCTCCCGGCCCCGGGCATGGACAGAAGGAGCTGGGCGCGCAGGGGGCGCCGCGGGACCGGGCGGCCGGAGCGCTGAGCCAGACAAAGGCTCCGGAGTTGCGCTCGCTCTCGGGAGCCGGGCCCCAGGCGCTGGGCGCCGAGGCTGCGGGACCCCGCGGGGGGCACCTCCGGCCGGCCTTCTCGCCCCCCAGCTGGTTCCGCGCGCCCGGACCTGCCCTGCCCGCTTCTCCTGGGGCTTGGGAATTTGCCGAGGGGACCTTGGCGGCTCCGGCGGGGACCGGAGCCCGAGGTCCTCCGCGCGCCAGCCGGGCCACGAGCCAGGGAGCGTCGCAAGTTTCCAAGGCGAGTGCGAGGACCCGGCGCCGGCGCGCGAGTGAGCCCTGCGTGCAGTGTTCGGGCCGGGCTGGGCGCCGAGAGCATGGGCAGCGACCGGAGCGCGCCCGGACGGCCCGGCTGGACGGGCAGCCTCCTCGGCGACCGGGAGGCGGCGGCGCGGCCGCGACTGCTGCCGCTGCTCCTGGTGCTTCTGGGCTGCCTGGGCCTTGGCATAGCGGCCGAAGACGCTGAGGTCCTTGCCGAGGTAAGGACCCCTGCCCTGCCCTTTGGCTGCGGGTTGGGGGCTTGGAGGGAGAGGAGACACGCCCGCAGACTGGGGCGTGGAGGTGGACGGAGCGGAGACGTGCCCCCTGTTCTGGGCCTGGCGGGGAAGAAAGGGGACCTGGCAGGCTGCCCCTCCCCAGCTCGCCCTCTGCAGCTCACCTCTTCTTCCCAAACCCTGGAGGACGCAGAGCTCTCACCTCCCCCCTACTCCTACAGCCCTGTTATGGGAACTGAACCCTCCACCCCGACCCCCCGCTTTCGGCCTGTGTCCCAGGAGCCGCTTCCGCGGTCCCCAGCTCATGCCTCCCTTCCTTCCTTCCCTCCCGGGCAGCCGATTCCTCGAGAGCCTGGCTGGCGCGCAGCAGCGCTCTTTGCGATTGGGGAGGGGGCTGCTCTCGCGGGCAGCCACCGGCGGAGCAGGAGCTGGGCAACTGGGTAACAGCGCTTCCGCCCAGGTGGCCTCCTGTCTGGGTGATACCGAAACGTGCTGGCGGGCCGGGATGGGGGGGAGGGGTGCAAACAGCTGAGGCAGCGGACTTCTGCGACTTTCTTGGGCTCTTGTGAGGAAGCCTAGCCACGCCCGGGCGGGGTCCTAAGGACAGACCCTGCCTCCCACAGCGCTTCCTCCCAACAGCGCCCCTACGCCGAAACCCGGGTTGGAGAGGGTGGACCCCGAGCCTCTTTTCGCCAGAAGCCCGCCTGGCGTCGCTTCTGGGGCTCTGCTCTGGCTAGGTCCCGCGGGTGACCAGGCGCGGCATCCCGACGCAGAGCCGGGTCCAGCCAGTGCGCCAGCTCCAGGGTGTCTCCCAAGCGTGGACACTGAAGGCACCAGGTCTGTTGCCCCAGAGTAAGAACAGGGTCTGCTCTTCCCCGACGTCTAAGACCCTGCTCCCTGCCCCAGATAGGCAGGGAGAGGATTGGGCGGGGAGTAGGAAGAAAGAAGCAGCCCGGCGCCTCCTCTGCACGGAGTTCGGGACTTGGTGCCCTTGGGCTGCCCGGGCTGTGGGCCTGAGCACCGTTTCTATTTGCAGCCGGGCTGGTGCTCCCTCCCCGGCCCGCGGCGGCTTTCCCACTCCCCCCGGGCTGCCTGGGAGATTTTTCCGATGGAAGCTTGCCCTTCCCCGCCCTACTTTAATAAAAGCATAGAGGAAGGGCAGGGAATTCCTCCTGGGCTCCAGTTACACCTCCCAGCCAGTTCCCCACCTGCTCTGCCCTCCCTCCCCAGCCAGGACAGGGAGAGCTGCAAGGAGCCAGGCCCTGGCAGGAGGCTGGATAGGAGCCCAGCTCTTGTCCAGTCTGGCCACCCTCTCCCGCCCCATTCACACAGGCAGGCAGGAGCTTTAGGGGGCTCCTGTTGGTGAGGATTACCCCTCAGCCTATGACCAAGTACTGGGCAGAGAGTGCATTGGGCCCACCTGCCACTCTGGATTGGAGTGCCAAAGAATTTCAAGTCACCGTCCCACCCTTGAGTTTCTGATCTACTTAGGGATGGCCCCTGTACACAGGAAGCAGTGATGGAATTCAATGGCTGTGCATTGTGAATGGCGCCCTAGCTGGCCAGGAGCTCTGGGGTGCAGGGACCTGTAGTTGGAGGGGCTTCATTCTCTCTTCTGCTTCTCCAGTTCCATCTCACCCTCACTCCAGTCCCCCAGCTCAGGGAGTGCCCACAGCTCGGGGCCTCCAGGAAAGAAGGCCTGGTTGCCTTGTCACAGACCATGCCCCCAAGCTGGGGGTTGTGGCTGGCCTGCAGCCCTACTCCTGGGGAAAAACTTGGGTGGGGCCTGGCCAGTGGCTGGAAAAGACTCGGAAGGTTTAGGGAGCCCTGAATGTTGGCAGCCATGCAGATAAAGAGCTAGAGACAGGTGGAGTGTCCCAGCTCCTACACTTGGCTTTGGGGACAGGCTGCTTCTGCAGTCCCATCACATCTGAGCACAAGTGGGCCCAAAGAGTCAAATGGCCTCAGCAGCCAGCCTGTCTGCCAATTGGCTGTGGCCTCAGACTCCTGGGCCTGGCCTACACCCTGTGTCCAGAGCCTCCCTTCCTCAGAGAAGGGCTGGCTCTCTGATCCTCACCCCAGCGTCCACACAGCTTCAGGCCTCCAGCTGGGTCATGGCTGGGACCTTCTTGGAGTAGCTTGGCAGTTGAGCTACTCTTGTGGAAGCCACAGGAGTTACATGAGGCTGAGACATCAAGGAGCCTGGCATGTGCTAGGAACTGGCAAACACCTGCAACCCACCAGGCCCCAGCCCACTACTGAGCTGCTCTGTCCTATCTCACATTCTCCTTTGGATGTCCGGTCCCAGTCTGTAGCCATTCCAGGCCAGACTCCCACCAGCTGAGGTTGCTCCTGCTGTTTCTCCTGCCCTGCAGGGCTGGGGATCTCCGGGTTCACTGGGGAGCTCTTATCTCACCTCCTTCCCCCCGCCCCCTCCTCCCAGGCACAATTCAGCCCCTCAGCCTGCCCTGTGGAGGTGACTCAGGCTGCCAGAGTTCACAGGTGTGGTGCCACCACCACCAAAACAGATCCACCCACCTTCCCTGAACAGGCCCACGAGTATCTTCCTAGCCCCTGCCCTGCCGCTGAGCAGATGAGGCAGGGGCAGGGATGGGTGTCTGTGTGAATTCTTATTTCAACCTTCAGGTGAGCCCCAGTCTCAGGCCTCCTGCGCTTCAGTCTCTACCAGCACTTCCATGCTGGCTCCAGGGGGTCCCACTGGTCTTCTCTTTCTTTTAAATATGGAGCAAAAACTACAGAGGCCATCTGTGCCCACCAGTTAAGAAAAGGGGGTTAACAGCGGGGTCTTGTCGTTGAGAATCTACAGAAACTGAATCTTCCCCCCTCCCCTCTTGTCTCTGCTTTTTACTCTGTTTTCTTGCTAGTAGCAAATCCCTCCTCTCTGTACTGTGTCAAGACCCAGAGAGAACTGGTCTGATTGGCACAGCCAGGGACCAAGATCCCATTAGGCCATACCCTTCACACCCAGCCCGTGCCATGTTTCTGAGTTGGGGCTGCCCTTGGGTCCAGCCAGTCATCTGTCTCCTTGCAGAGAGCAGCTCAGGGTAAGCTCCTTGTCTGAGCAGTGTATTGGCCTGACCTGCCCATTGTGGCCTCTGAACACAGACACCTCCCTTTGCCCCACCCCAAGAGATGTCTGTACTTAAACGACATCCATGAATGTGGAGAGGAGAGCAACGTGGAAATACACACTACCCCCACCCCCAAAAGGAGACTTTCCCCAAAAGCCCAGTGCCCACTGCCCATATTGCTCATGCCCACTCAGGATGACCACACTGCAGGCGTGGGAAAGGCCCCGCCTCCTGCGCCTCCCACGCCGTTTGTTCTGGCTGCCCCTCTGTGGCCTGTTTATTGTTTGGTCTAGATGTTCCCTGCCATCATCACCTCTGCCCTGCTGGGAGTTTGCCATCTACCTCAGGCTAGCTGTGGTGGTCGCTGTGAGCACCACTGCTTTCCAGATCAGATGAGAATGGGTATCCTCCATATCATCCCAAGGCTTGGGTGACTCCTTCGCTTGGACGCTGCAGCAGGGGCAATGCTTTGGGCCTGGGGATATGTTCTCAGAGTCAGCAAAGACAGAGAGGGATTGGGAACTCTGCTCGTATCTTTCTCCATTACAAAGAAGGTCCTGGGAGAGGCCGGCCTGTCAGTGTGAGGATCAGGACCCTGAGGGCAGCTGAATGCTCCAGGCCTAAGACACAGTAGGCACCATCTGGCTGGACAGCCCTGAGTGACAGTTCAGATCGGGCTGCTCCACAGACAGACACTGGTTCCAGGGATTCCTGAGACCAGAAGTTATGGAGCTGGGCCTGGATCCCAGAGACAAAGAGGGATGCCTCTTCCCTAATCCCATTGCCCTGGTGGGAATGGAAGAAAAAGTGGGAAGAGACCCAACTCAGCCTCCAGTGTCAGGACAGGTGGATGAGACCCTGGTACCAGCCATTCGCCAGCCTCTGGAGATGCCCCACATCCTGCTGCCACCAGCTGGTGGTGATGAAGGCCGGGGTCTAGATTGGCCCTCCAGGGCACTGGCACTGCCTTGTCCTTCCCCTAGGAGTGACTGTCACCCTGTAGGGGTGAGAGCCCAACTCCATGTTCAGCATTTATGAGTATGGTGCCTGGTACATAGGAGACTCATGCAAAATAGTGCAAAACACAGTGACAGAAGCGAATGGCATTTACTGTTGGGCAGGTCGCTGAGCCTGTATGAACCTCAGGATCCCTATAAAAAGGGAATAGCAATAGTATGGCTGCTTGATGGAGTTACTGGGGAGATTCATTGCATGTACGTGCAAAGCACTAAGCACTATGCGCAGTGGCCGGCATGGGGGCCCGGGGAGGCCCAGGCATTATTTTTTAGCACTTTCAACATATTTATGTCTGTCCTGGACACAGCCTAGGGATGTTTTGTAAGCATTTTCACATTTAATCTTTGTATTAACTCTTCAAGTGTAGACACTGTCCTTACCCTGTTGTACAGAAGAGGAGACTAATACTGTGAGTCAAGAGAAATTACCCCCACATTCCATAGCCAGGGAGTGGCAAAGCTTAGATTCGAACCCAGCTCAGTCTGCCTTGGAGCCCAAGCTCCCAACCCCATGCTGGGTTAAAGGCTGCAGGTTGGCCAGGCTCGGTGGCGCACACCTGCAATCCCAGCATTTTGGGAGGCGGAGGTGGGCGGATCACGAAGTCAAGAGATCGAGACCATCCTGGCCAAAGTGGTGAAACCCTGTCTTTACTAAAAATACAAAAATTAGCCGGGTGTGGTGGCATGTGCCTGTGGTCCCAGCTACTTGAGAGGCTGAGGCGGAAGAATCGCTTGAACCCAGGAGCGGAAGTTACAGTGAGCCAAGATTGCACCGCTACACTCCAGCCTGGCGACAGAGCAAGACTTTCTCAAAAATAAAAAAGGCTGCAGGTCAGAGCCTAGGGTGCCATCCTGTGGAAGTTCCACCAGGCAGAAT